GACTTTTAGGGGGGCGGTAATAATCGAAAAGGGGGGCGGTAAAAATCAACACCCAATATAATTCATGCATTATTGAGGTACGTTTGAATACTCTCTTGTCGTTTTCGAATGCGTCAAGAAACATGTTCATTTTTTATGGTACAAGATATACCTGACGTCAGTCCCATGTTAAATAGCGGCATGTATCCTTTGATGTGGCTCATGGATGCGTCTCCTTTGCTCTAACGCCTACAAAACAGAACCACGAGATCGTTCTCAGGGGTAGATCCTCCGATAACGAAGTCAGAGACGGTTTTAGAATTAGCGTGACGGTTGTTGAGTTAGTAGAGGTCCCCCTGTGCAGATAGAGGACTTTTCAGTCCACTAGCTTGGTGGACTATGGTCCACCATTTAGGCCACTTTTGGACCTTGGGCCTAAAATAAGACTTTCAGGACATTGGGCATAAAGTGTGTAAAATGGGGGCAAGTGATAAGGAGAAAATATAAATTTATTAGGCGACACATGGCTCGGGAGAATAAAGACACGTGTATCTCGAGGACCGTTAGTGTTCAAGCTCAAAGCTGAAGCTCAACCTCAAATTTAGGTCCAATGTCCAGAAAAGCCTCACTTTAGACCCAAGGTCCAAAAGTGGTCCAACTGGTGGACCATAGTCCACCAAGCTAGTGGGCTGGGAAATCCTCCGTCTGTACAGGGAAGACCTAAGTCATTTGACCTTTATAAAATAATGACCTAGGTCAAGGATGGCGACACACTCCCTTCTACTCACTCTATAGTTGTCACCCTAACACCTAAAATCGATTCTAACTTAGGCATCGGTAGATCTACCCCTGGGGACAACCTTGGAGCTATATGCAGGCATTGGAATAAAGGAGGACGTCAGATCATACATCGTCGCCGCGTGTCTTCGGACTAACGTCAGGTATTTCTTGTCTCATCAATATTGGTTATGGCTTAATTTAGTTTCAATTCAAAGGGTTAAGTAAAAAAGAGGGATGTGACTTTAGGGTTGGAAATTTTGGTCACTATATGAATTTTGGTTCCAAGTCATGTCTCTATATATATCTAGTCTCTATTACAATAAACAAATAAAGTAAAGTAGTCTCATAACCTTATGGATGTATCAAAGTAATCTTTTGCAATTCGATTAACTAATTGGACAAAGATTGACACATCGGGCACATTTCATTATTTTCAAGCCAGGATATTCAATTTCTTTGCGAGAATATCTTTAATTTGACTAATTTATAAATATTATTATATTAATATTAATTGATTCCAATTGAATTAAATTTGTCAAAAAGCTGTTATTAAATTAATACTATATCCATACATGCAACAAAGCCTTTTCAATTTCACTCTCACCCAAAA